TCTGCCTCAGCCACAGCCTGCTTCAGCCTCAGCCTCAGTCTGCCGTCGGCCTCGGCCTCAGCCTCAGCCTGCCTCAGCCTCAGCCTGCATCAGCCTCAGCCTCAGCCTCAGCCTGCCTCAGCATCAGCCTGCCTCAGCCTCAGCCTCAGCCTGCCTCAGCCTCAGCCTCAGCCTGCTTCAGCCTCAGCCTCAGTCTGCCTTCAGCCTCGGCCTCAGCCTCAGCCTGCCTCAGCCTCAGCCTGCATCAGCCTCAGCCTCATCAGCCTGCCTCAGCCATCAGCCTCAGCCTGCCTCAGCCTCAGCCTCAGCCTGCTTCAGCCTCAGCCTCAGTCTGCCTTCAGCCTCGGCCTCAGCCTCAGCCTGCCTCAGCCTCAGCCTGCCTCAGCCTCAGCATCAGCCTGCCTCAACATTCAAAATGTGGCCCGGGAATGGAGTTCTGGGAACTCGAAGAGCACGAAGTGACCTACAGTTGGCTCCGGGCATTCAAAATCATGCCCAGGAATGGAGTTCTGGGAACTCGAAGACCACGAAGTGGCCTACAGTTGGCTCCGGGCTTTGAGAATGTGGCCCGGGAATGGAGTTCTGGGACCTCGAAGACCACGAAGTGTGAAACTGTTGGCTAAAAAAAAATCTCCAGCACCCCCCTGGATCGCGCCCAGACCCCCCTGGGGCGTCATTATGCTCTCTCTTGACCCTACTAGAAACCTATCAGTCTTCGCTATTAGGTAAAAAAAGCTGCTCCCGCATAGTGCCCCTTGATATAGGGGTCGCAGGATTGCACCGCATCGCCTACACATCGGCAAAGCATCGGCGACGTCTGCGATGCATCGGCGACGTCGGCGTGGAGGAACTCGCTGGACTCCACATCGAGCCGCATCGCCGATGCATCGCCGATGCATCGCCGATGCGGCGTGTTCCTCCGACCCCACCCCATCTGAGAGACCTACAGTCAACCCGTGCGTAGCACCCCGCAGTTGCGGAGAAGAGTGAGGGGGTGGCGGGGACGTCGGCAGTCTGCGAGGCTTTGAAGAAGCCCGCGGCAGGCGCAACAGATTCAAGCTATACAACGAGCCCGCCGCAGGCGCCAATTTTTTGGTTAAAACAATTCAGGTGGGTCGCGGATTGGGTCGCAGCTGGGTCGCGGGTGGGTCGCGAGTTGGTCGCGGGTGGGTCGGGGGCTGGGTCGCGGGTGGGTCGCGGGTGGATCGAGGGTGGGTCGCGGGTGGGGTCGCGAGGTGGGTCGCGGGGTGGACCGCGGGTGGGTCGCGGGCCGGGTCGCGGGTGGGTCGCGGGTGGGTCGCGAGGTGGGTCGCGGGTGGGTCGCGGGCCAGGTTGGGAGCCGGGTCGCGGGTGGGTCGAGGGTGGGCCGCGGGTGGGTCGGGGGTGCGTCGCGGGCGGGTCACGGGGTGGATCGCGGGTGGGTCGCGGGTGGGCCGCGGGGTGGGTCGCGGGTGGGTCGCGAGGTGGGTCGCGGGTGGGTCGTGGGCCGGGTCGCGGGGGGGACGACGACAACAACGCATTTCAGCCACGCACCCAGGGACAACGAAGGGCCTTGGAGGCCTATGTCAACGCTATTCGAACGAGGCTGGCCAGCCAGAATCGCCAAGGATGGGCCGAAGGGGCAAGGATGCCGGGGTGCCCTTGGGCAGGTTGCCCATCCTTACTCTACTAGGGGGAAAACAAACCTACGTCGCTTTTGACCACCCTCTGACTTCCAAGAGATACCAAACGATGCCAAACTACGGCCTGTACTGATCAGGCCGCTTGACGAGGAGGCGCGTGGTGTGATTTGGTTTTGCCTGGAAGCGAAAGCGGGGTAGGTAACTCACGCTCCGATCTACGAGTTGACTGCAATCAGAATAAGTCTTTGCCCCCGCCCGCCTCCCGGGTGGACGGGTCGGTGCCGTGCTCCGCCTGCCACTTGCGGATGGAGACCAGGCTGTAGAGGAACAGGTGCGGCCCGTCGTCCGCGCGCCCTCCCCCGCGGCAGCCGCCCGTGGGGGGGGGGCGGGGGGGGGGGGGCGGGGCAGGGGGGCGGGGCAGGGGGGCGGCGGGGGTGCCCGGCCAGAGGCGGGGGCCACAGGGAGCGCGGGAGTGGAGAGCGGAGCGGGTGGGAAGGAGGACGGACGGGAGGGATGAGCTGGTCACCTGCCTGCGTTCGCGTGCGCGGACACCGGGCTGATGCCGCACCTTCGAAGAACCGCGTGCGCCGTCAGACGGGCCCGGATGCGAGCGCTCGCGAACACGAGAACGATGCTGTGCTTGTGTCTGGTCCGCCACGCTCCGCTGTCCTCGCCATGCGACCTCGCTTGCAGCAGCTGGCGTGCCGGGCACAGGTGTCTGCTCGGTGCCGCCGCCTGCTGCGGAGCATCCAGCAGGTCCCCCCCCGTCGAGTCGAGCCCGGCATCCCTTTGCCCGCTGCACCAAGGGCTCCCGGGCTCGGCGCCCCTCGCGCACGGAAGGCAGAGGAAGGCCAAGGCGTTCCGAGGGGCGCGCCGCCTCGAGGGAGAGCGACCCGCCGCCTCCGACCCCCCGAAGGCGCCCCGCCCCGCCCCCGCCCTCCCCGAGCGTCCCCACGCTGCGCAGTGGCGCCTTCGCGCGGCAGCGAGCCTGGACAGCAAAGGTCACGGCTGCTTCACTGGAGCTCTCACGCAGCTCACGTGGGAAGCCACGGATGTGGCGCGCGCGCGCGCCCCGGCTCCCCCCTTGTGTGCCCAGGAAGGCAGAGCACGGCATGGGACCTGGAGAGCCCACGAGAAAATGGGATCTGCGCTGTTACACTTCTGCTCATATGTGTCTTCTCTGATTCGGGGCACACCCGACCTCGGGCCTTGGGACACACAGAGACATGCATACTAATACTATATGTGCTCCTTGGAGGCGCGCGTCCGACCCGAGCATATAGTATACCCATCTTGTAGTACATCGTTTCCCGAGCGGTGTGGCCAGAAAGCGCCCGCCACGACGCATTTACTGTAAGAATTCTCGGTGCGCGCGTCGCCCCTGAGGGGGCGACGCTCATATAGTATAAGTATGTTATCGGGAGCGGTCAAGAGGGGGGTGTCCAAGAGGGAGGGGTGCAAATCATGACCGCCGGCATGTGCGCGGCCCAACGGCGGGGCCAGGCACGTCATGAAATAAGAAGGGGCGCCATGAAATCTGGGGAAATATCATGGCCTCCGCCATGATATCCACCCCCCCAATCATCACCCCCCTCTTTGCCGCCCCCGATGTCGGGGTGACGCCGAGGCCTGCCCCGGGAGCTCTCTGGTGGGCGGCAGCTCTCTCTCTGGCGCTCCCGGGCTGCTCCGCGCACGAGGCGACGCGACCCTCGCCGCGGACACCGCCCGGGGCCCGGCGAAGGCCGGGTGTGGCGGGGCCTCGGCCTCCGAGGCCCGGCGCGTCCGGACACCACGCACTGCGAGGCGCGCGCAGAGAAAGAAAGCTGCAGTCGGACTTCACTGGGCAGGGCACGCGAGAGGACACGAAGACCCCTCCGAGGGCCACCGCACCACAGGAGTGCAGGAGGCATGGGTCGCGAGACAGAGGACACGAGGGTGCCCTTGGTTTGGCAGGGTCGACCTACTAATCTGGGCCGACTGTACGCGGGGACGGGGGGGGGGAGGCAGGCCCTGGAGGCCGATGCCGGCGTGCTGCACGGCGTGCTCGTGTGTGTGTCGGTGTGGGCGAGGAGGGAGCAGCGAGGACGAAGGAGTCCCTGGCGTCGGCGCTGGTGCGGGACCCTCTGGCGCCCTCGGGCTGCGAACTCCTCGGCAGCGAGCGCGGGACATGTTCCATAGCATGATCCGGCGGCCCGCCTCCGAGGATTCTTCTCGGGATGTCTCGGAGGCCCCCAAGAAGAACCCACAGCCCCTCCACGGGGCGAGGCCTGATGCGCCTCCAGCGCCCTCGGCTCCTCGCTCTCCGGAGCGCCAGAAGCTGCGAGAGAGGCCCCCAAAGATCGCTCCAAGGCGGCCCCCGAGCCTCCAAGAGGCGGCCCTGAAGGCCCAGGGGTTATGTTGCTCCCATCGTACTCAAGGACCACATCCCAGAAATAATTTCGAGCACCCGGAAAAGTGTCGAAAGAGTGTCGAAACAGTGTCGAAACAGTGTCGGACGCGCGTCTCCCAGGGCCCGACACGTGAAAACCGTCGAGTTTCTGTACTTTTTTCTGGTGCTCGACATTCTCCCTGATCATAACCCAAGGGAGGGCCCCAGGGGCCCCCCCCCCCTAGGGGAACTCGTGGGGGCCCCACCCCCCCGTCCCCCCCCCCCCCCCCCGAAGCGGTACGCCGCGCGCCCACCGCCGCGCCTGCCGGCGCCCCTGCGCCGCACCCCGCGCCGCCGCGCGTGCGCGTGCGCGTGCGCGTGCGCGCGCGAACCTGCTTCAGGTCGGGCATGCCCTCCCACAGGCGGACTCCGGAAGACGAATCAAAACTAGCCCCAACAGATCCCAGAAGAATCAAAACTAGCGACCAACATTGTCCGCTGACTCTTTTTGCACTGTTTTGTGATACAAGCCTCGGAGCAAATTAGCGAACACTCATGCCACATTCATCCGTCAATGCCTCCCCATCCCCCCCCCAGTGTTCAAAGTTGGCGGTGGGTCTGATGAGATGCGCTTCGGCCGCAGTGTCCCCCGCGCGTGCCAACATTGAGTTTTGGGGGAGGGGGAGTGTTCAGAAATTGTTTCCCTCTACCGTGTCCCTCCTGTCGAGAGACATGCCCGACTCAAAGCCTGCGCCCGCGAACCTCTGCGCCTCCGTCCGCGCCCCCGCCCCGGGCCCCTCGCCCTCGCCCGCGCGCCCCGCACCTCTCCAGGGCCGCAGGACGCACCCCGAGACCGGCGGCGAGCCCCTGGGGGGGGGGGGGGGAGCGAGAAGGGGCGGGCGCCTCCTCGGGAAGGAGGAGGAGCAGGAAGAGCAGGAAGAGCAGGAGGAGGAGGAGGAGGAAAAGAAGCAGGAGAAACAGGAGGAGCAGGAGGAGGAGGAGGAGGAGAAGGAGGAGAGGCGACCGCGAGCCCCTGGAGAGCTTCGGAGGAGGAGCCCGCGAGGCCCGGGGCCCACGAGGCCGGGCCCGCTGGCCGTGCGGCGGCCATGCGGCGGGAGGCTCGAGAGATCCCCCGGCCTCCCGACGAGTGGTCGGAGCCCCCCCCCCCCGAAGACGCGGAGAACATCCCGGGAGGCCTGAGGCCAACCGAGAAGTCTCGCCGCCCGTTGGGGAGGCCTCCTCCTTCTCACTTCCCCCCCTCGCTCGCCGCCGACAAGAAAAATCCCCAGAATAAAGGCCTCCTAGATGGGGAGAGAGTAGACGGGTTCGAAGGACCGCATCGCCAATGCGGCGCCGCCGTATCTGCGATGCATCGCCGATGCACTGCCGATGTCGGCGATGCATCGGCGACGTGGGCGTGGAGACCATCGGGCTTCACATCGAGCCGCGTCGCCGATGCATCGGCGATGCGGCGCGAACTTCTGACCCTATCTGCTCGAACCCCATCCGGGAGACCTGGAGGAGAAGAAGGAGGAGGAGGAGAAGAAGGAGCAGGAGCAGCAGCGGGGGAGGAGGAGGAGGAGGAGGAGGAGGAGGAGGAGGAGGAGGAGGAGGAGCGAACGCATGAAGGGACGCGCCGAGTCGGGCCGACGGGGAGAACAGGGGGCGGATGGAAAAAAAGAGAATGCGCAATCTCTCACAAAACAAGGTGATGACATAAATCGGGACAGCCCGAAATTAGATCATCAGACCCAGCCTCGCAAGAGCCTGAGCCGCAGACACCTGGCCAGGAAGCTGACCCAGGGCAGAAGAAAACGGGGCCGCCCAAACACAAGGCCCCGATGTTACGAGAAACAAGCGAATTACGCGAATTAAGTAGCTAAGCCGAGCCACCCCACCACAGGGTCAGAGACGAGCATTCTCCGAGGGAGCGGTATAGGATGCTTGCGGCCCTCGCTGGGATGGCGGCCGGAGGCAAAATTATTTCGCCTCCACCGCCTCTGAGGATTCCCATCGAACACCTTGGAACCCTCGCATTCGTTGTACAGCTGGGATAGGTGAGCTCGCTCCGAAAACGACCCGCAGCGCATGCAACCGACCACGTCACCCGCTCTGTAGAGCACATGGCCCCTCGAGGCCTGCGGGGGGATCGGCCGCCCGCCAGGGAGCACCTCGCTGGGAGGGACGGCGTTGGCCCTCGTGGTGGCCAGCGCCAATCTGGGGCGCTTCTCAGAGCCACGCACGGGCCCGAGGGCAACGGCCGCGTTCCTATCACGGGTCTGTATGGGAGGCTCGAAATGTATCCTCCTCTTCACACAACGGGGCGTCCTAATGAAAGCTTCCGCCTCCTCGTCCTCAGGCCTCCTAGACTTGCCCACAATCCGAACCCTAGGGGACGGGCGAGGAGGAGGAGGGGGAGGATCAGGGACCGAAGCGGGGGAGGAGGGTGGGGCCCCGCGAAGCACCTTCCTCCCAGGGCCATCCTCGTCCTGACCTCCAGGGCCGTCTTGGCCGTCTAAGGGCCTCTTGATGTTCTGGCGGGGGCCGAGGGGCGGGCTCCGCGGGACCTCCGCAGGGCTGGGCGAGGGCTCAGGAGCCTGAAGTTCCGAGGGGCGATGTACTGTACACACCTCTAAGGCCAGTCGCTTGCGTCTAGAGGTGGTCCGCGCGAAGCGCTGACAGTGCTTGCATTTCCATCCTCCGTCGAGCCGCGGCCTGAGTTCGTGCAGGCGCTGGCCCTGTGTCAGAACTGGTTGCTGTCGTTCGGGCCGACGTAGTAGCTGCCGTCGGCGTCGTGGCCTCCTTGCCGGCGGCGGCTGACGGTCCTGGCTCCCAACCAACGTCATGGAGGACCCGATCCAGCACGCCACCTGCCTCGCGATGTTGAGCATGTTCGCGTGGAGGTGGACGGCCTCCGCTGGCAACGCATGCATGGCCAGCCCGCGCTTCGCCGCTACATCCGCGTAGTCATTGCCCTTATTGTCCA